GTTTACGATAAGTTACAAATTTTAAATACATGGCTAGTCAAAACCGTCGGTATGACATGCAAGATCAAGGATCCTCGACACTTGGCAAAAATAAAGCATAAAACAAAATTCAATGAGCAAAGACGACCAAAAGATGGTCGCCAAATTCATATAAACAGCCGGCCATAAAGACCGGCAAAAATATTCAATACCCCGGCCCCCTGGCCGGGTAAAGTGATACAAGAACAAACGGCGCGCAGGCCGAATAAAAAGTTAAAGACATAAAAGCTTTGAGATTGAGGCAGGGTATCGGTATTGGCTGCCGCCTGATAAACAAGGGACGCCTGGTTCTGGGAGGCATCTTTCTTACTTGTCTCGGCATCAGGGGCAGCTTCCTTAGACGTATCTGCCACAATCGGTTGCAAGGCCACCACCTCCTCTTCCTCTTCTGAGCTGGACTCGGCCACCTTGTCTTCCTTAGCCGCCTGCCTCATGATTTGTTGGTTGTACGATTCAGTACAAGCGTTGAACTTTTTCTCCCAGGTGGCATAGTGAGCTTTTGGGAAGAGGGTCGTCCAAGTCATCTTCATGATTTGAGCTGAGTCGTCCATCATGGCTTGGACTAACTCCATTTTTTCTTTCTTGGCCTTGGCCGAGAGCTCGTCAGTGAGGCTTTTCTCCTGCTTTTGTAGGCGGTCTTTGACAGCAGCCAAGGATTTCTCCATGGCCTCAAAATGGGTCATCTTCTGCCTAAGCGGCTTCAGCTCATCTCGGAGACTCTTGACCGTCGCCTCCAGCTCATCATTCTTCTTTTTGGCCGCCTCCAACTCAATACGAATAGTGGAAGTGGCCTGCGCCTGATATTAAAGAATATCAGTTGTCAAAATTTCATTTTGGGCAATTTGAAACATTGCCTTATCAACGTCAAAGGCGGCCATAGCTTTAGCAGCCTTTACCTCTTTGTTCTTGGCGCTAATTGGCCTTCGGAGGCCGTGTACTCGCAGCATGGTCTGGAAAAAGGAAAAACAGGCGTCAGATTTGAGAATAACAGGCGGCACGCAAAGTCAACACCTTAAAAATATTCTAAGTCTACCTCAGAAAGGAGACCTATGATGCCGTCTATGTCAACGATGCCGACTCCCTTGACCGCATCCCTCTCCTCTTGAGGGACGACCTTAATCATAGACTTGGCCATTTGGACCAAGTCCGGTTCTTGAGGGCCGCCTGCATAAAAAAAAAATAAAAAAAAAATAAAAAAAAAAAAAAAAAAAAGAGAACATCAAAAACGTGAAGAAAGCAATGAAGAAATAAGTTAAGTCTAGCAGAGCAGCCTATACCTCTCGGCGGTCGACTGAGGACTTGTGATGGTTTCCCCACACTTTGTGAGGTGATTGGCTGCTTATCAGCCGACTGCTTCCTGGCTGAGCCAGGCTGAGCCAAGAGAGCTCCCAATCGTCAGCTTGCGAGCCTTCGTATCCGACTGTTGGGAGGAGGAGGGTTTGGAAGTGCCCGCCTGTGAAAAAGATGAATGGTCAATACTGATATAAGCAGTTTTTCAAGACAAGTACTAAGGCTCGAAACTCACTATGGGCGTCTCCTTGGCAGGAGAATCAGTAGAGGTCCGCTTCTGTTGCATGATGGAGGCTCGCAGCAAGGCAGCCGCCTTCTTAGATGCGGAAATTTGGTCCATAGCTTCAACTACAAACAAGAACCACAAAGAGTTAGAAAAAAAAATTCTAAAACAAACCAAAAGAAGTGTACATATATTCAAGAGGTCGGCTACCTCTGGAGGACCGACTGCTAAGGCCGCAAGCGGCCAGAAAAAAACTCGTCATAGAGCCATCGAAACTCTGGGACGCAGTTTAAGGGCACTTGCTCTCGTACCCCAGTAGTAGAGTTTGCCCTAATCTCTACTTTGAAGAGTCCTCGGTCAAGGATCTCTTCCCGAGCCTTGCGGGGGACCGGCGGCATGCTGCGACCGGCTGCTAGAAGAGGCAGATCCTTGTTCCACTTATTGTAGCGCTTGTTCAGCAACCTGTCAGGGCTGGCAATGATGAGGAAGGTGTTCCTCTAATCCTTCCATTTATTTTCTTTGCCCCTGGTCATTAGGTAGCCCTTGTGGCTCGTTATTTGGTACCAGCCGGTACCGCTTGCCTTGGGGGTCCGGCTGAGATAGTTCATATGGGTGAACGCCTCAAAATTCGGCTCCACCCCGTGCATTTAACATCCGGCTACATAGCCAAGGATGTTGAACCAGGAATTCGGGGCTAACTGCCAAAGCCCCACCTCGTATCCATCGAGGATTTGTTGAACGACCGGGTGTATGGGAAATCACAGTCCAGCCTTAATGGCCGCCTCGTAGCAGCCAAAACAGGCGTCCCCGTAGCTAGACCCTGCGGGCCAGACGACTGTATCCTCACCATCCGGCACAAATACTTGAAAATCCAGACCCATCGTATGGTCCGATAGAAAAGTGTCTATTCGTTCTTTCATGGCCTTGATCCGACCCTTTGGGACATGACAGTAATAAGGAGTATTCAACTCCCTATGGGAGGCGGATGGTTCCGACCAGTCGTCCCCTTTTTCAACTGCATGAGAAATTCTCGCCTCATGCAAGCGAGCATGCCTTTCCTCTGAGTTTATAAAGAGGCGGCTTGAAGAGCTAGAGTCAGACTCACTATCAGAAGAGTCCGACTCCTCCCCTCTCCCTAAGAGGGCCGACCCCTCTTCTTCTTCAGGGGCCGTTTGCTGACTGGCCAGGTCAACAAAGAAGTGGGAAGGAGCTACTTTAGCTCCCTCCTCAGAGCTCTCGGCAAAAGGGCCACCTTGGGTCCCTGCGGTATCAGGCGGCTGGTCCGACAGCTCACTAATCTGAACCCGGAAAGAGGAGCCATCAGAGTTTTCAATTCTCTTGGTCTTTTTTGTTCTTGCCATACTGTCCTGCATAGATACAAAGACAGTTGGATTCCGGGACTTGCGCAAAGTTTGAAGTACCGCAGGGCAGTCGGCACCCCTAGTCCTAGACTCAGCCGTCCCCGATGACCGGCTGATTGCTAACCTAGGTCGTGCCGGATGCTTTTGAGGTCTCATTTTAAAAAAAGAAAGAAAAAGTGCAAAAGCAAAGAGAATAAAGAAACAGACAGTTACCTGAAACTTAAGTTCTGAAGAAGAGCTTGATCGAGTAGGCGCCTAGCAAAAACAGTCGTCCTGGCAGGTCAAAAGTTGCAAAGTGTCAGAGCTCAAGATCAGGGGTCCGAGAGTTCTCTTGAAAAAGTTCACAAATGTGAACAAAAGACTTGGTCAACATGCCTTTATATAGGGCAAAGGAGAATGCGAAGAGTCACCTCAAAATTAAAAAAAAAAACGAGCGGGAAAAATGCTCGGCTCGTCATAGGGCGACACCTGTAGCAGGCCGTCGCCTGTTATAGGCCGACACCTGTCACAGGTGACATGTGAACAATCACATGCCACCCGTGAGGGGCAAATGATTAAGGGATTTTTCCCTACCAATCACCATCTGACAAGTGGACCATTCAGGCTCTGCCAAGTGTCCGCAACATGGGCCAATAGAAGCCTGCCACGTGTCAGGCGTTGATTCGTCCACCATGGACCAGTTGTGTCACGCCATGTGGCCTCCGTAAGCCAAACAGGCCACCTAGGCCCAATTTCCGAGGGAAGCCCAGTCAGCCCTAGGTTAACCTAAACCTAGTATTTGACACGTTTCCCAAGGTTATAAATACTCTAATTAATCCTCATTAAGGGGGATTGAGCAATTCATTACTCTCACCTAGAGAACCTAAACACATTGATTACTCCTCCCCTAGAGGAACCCAATCGCCCAACCTTTACTTTTTCCGCACTCATTTCTCTTCAAACAGGTACTAACTTGACCGTCGGAGGCGGAGCTCCCACCACTCGGAGTCTCCATTGTTTTGCAGGTACAGGCGCACAGATCTAGTCCCGGAATTGTAGCTCTCCCGCAGGACATCAGAAAACCTCGAAACAAAGAGCAGCATCGAAGGTCGATCCTGGACCAACAATACCAGAATTGCGAAGAAGTGCATACCATTGGTTTAGGTGATCCGGTCCACAGTCCTATGTTATTATTATTATTATTATTATTATTATTATTATTATTATTATTATTATTATTATTATTAACAAGTGCATACCATTGATTTAGGTGAATGAAAACATAAATAGATGTATACCATCTTTAACATATGTTAATAGTAGAAAGATAAAAGATAATAGTTTAACATCTTCAAATTATTACAACCACATATAAAAATAGGAACATAATTAGATAAGAGTTTAACATCGTGGTGAATTAACCATCTATTTCCATATGATCTTCATTTTCATCATCTTCATTGTCGCTTTGATCTTCATTGTCATCACCTTCATTGTTGCTTTCTGATCGATTAGCCCTCGAAATTCGGCGTGCTATACGATGTCGCACTTTGACCATACTATCTTTGCGCCATTGTGCAAACATAGTTGAATCTGTTACTCCTATATTCACATCATGTTGAATGATTGGTATGCCAAGCGTATGCATCCGAATAAAATAATATTTTAGTATTATTATTAAATATGAAGTATTATTATTCCCTCAAGAAAAAAATATTATGTGTTATTATTATGATCATTATATATTTAGAAATTGTTATAAATTATTAATAATTAATATATTATAAATATTAATAATTTTTATTGTGAATTATTAGTTATTATTATTATTAAATATTAATTATTATTATTAAATATTAATTATAAATTATTATTATTATTATTTATTTTAAAGATATTATTAATTATTATTTTTAATCAAGAGCAGAGCAGAGCAGAGCATAGTAAAGAAGAGAAGGGCTCAGTAGAGCAGCTCTAAATGATAGGGTCTATAAGTATTACCAAATAAATAAGTGTTGCAATTTTTTGGTGAGTACATTTATCCTCTAGCATCACCCTATCCAAGTCAAATTGTAGGGTTTTAGAAAGGGAGGAGTGTAAGAAGAATGTGGCGGGCTATCTAGTAAACCCAAATACTCTAAACAAATACCATCAAGTCAACAACTTTTAATGTCTGCTGCCGGTTTCGCTTGCACCTTTATTAGCGCAGCATCATCATCGCTCACCCGCCCTTGTTTTCTCACTTCCTCTCGCATTCTTTCCTTCTTCTCTTTCTCTCTCCTCTCGCCGCCATTACCGCCGCACAGGTAAACCACCTTCGCCGCCATTTTCGCGATTCAAATTCTGCATTTGCTTAACTCTAGGTTTCACTTTTTCCAGGTGCTTTAATCGTAGTAGAAGATTGTTTGCTATGGCTGGTGATTCCAAGGCTAAAACTGCTGATCCTAAGGCCAAAAATGGTGAGTTTGATGTTAATTTTGATGGTTTTTTTTCTTTTTTTTGTTTTTGTTAATGGAGGATTAATGTAGTTGTTAATGATTGGGATTTTTAGCTGGGAAGAAGAAGAAGGAGGTGAAAAAGGAGACTGGATTAGGGTTAACTAATAAAAAGGATGAGAATTTTGGGGAGTGGTATTCTGAGGTATTTGATTTTTATTTCTATGTTTTTTTGGTTAAATTATAGTACTATGTAATGAATAATTGGGTTGAAATGATATTTGTGATTGATAATGCAGGTTGTTGTGAATTCTGAGATGATTGAGTATTATGATATTTCCGGGTGTTACATTCTGAGGCCGTGGACTATGGCGATTTGGGAGGCTATGCAAGTGAGTTAGCTGTTATCTTTTATTTCAGTAAAATGCTTTGACTTGTTGTAGAAAGAATTTGTGGATGCCATTAGCAATCGACTTGCTTATGGGGTTGGGATCTTTTGTTGCTTGGTCAGTTTCGGGGTTACGTGAACTTGTCCCCGTGTAAAATGAACTTTAATTGAATGTGAGCTTCAATAGCAACATCGCATTAACACTTCAAATTCTGATAGGAGAAGGGTTCCTAATTTCTTTTCGAAATGTTTACTGCTGTAGTTTGTGTTGAAACCTTTCACACTTATGTTGAATGCTTTTTGAGGAATGACTCTAACGACTTAGTGTAGTCTTTTAAAATCTTATAGCGGAGGTGTTCTCCTTCTATGGTTATGTTCTCTTCACCTTATTTCAAGAATTTCGTGTTGGTTGTGTCCATGATAATGTTATTTGACTTTAGACAGTCACCAAGTCAGACTAAACTTCTATAAAATCAGACAGATCACCTCTGTTGAAGAGTTTATAACCTAAATTTGTCATGGTTTTTTGTTCTCAATATGTAATATCAAAAGGCTAGCAGGGTTAGATTTAAGGTTACAATAATTTCTAAGTAATCCTTTGAGGAAGGAAGATGTGATATGCTATTCAAGGTAAGTTTAGTTGGAGGGAGGTCACTTGCTTGTTGCTACATCACCGAATTTATGATTATACTCTTGTGCAAATTATGTTTGGGATTTAAGTTTACCCTTATCCACCCCCCTCCCTATGTTTTGTATGGAAGTGATGGCTTGATGTATCTATATTATAAATATTAGGAATTTAGGATATTTGAGAAGGATATTTCTGAAATTTGTGAAATTTGCCACAATGATTGAGGGGAGGATTCGGTTGTTTGGATTTTGAATGGCAAATGATCTAGGTAGAGTATATGTTTTTAGGTTCTTATATCTTCTCTTTTATCATTGATGAAAGTCAAGGAATTTTCTATCATGCTGGACAATTGTTCAGGGTCAATCTGAAATATTCTATGTTGCAAACTTACAAATTCAATCTCTCCTCCCTTCTTGATCTCATATCGTTTTAGAATGACAATTGCTGCTTTATTGAAGCCTTACTGAATATATGCCAGAAACCATGCGGGGAAATTTCCACTTTTCCCAATCTAGAAGAGTAGAAGTAGGGTATGAAACAAGCTGATTTTAGTCTTTTAATGGCACCTTTTCCCAATCATTGATGAGAGTTTCAGGATTTACATGCTTATATTAATTCAGAAAAGGCTCAATTAGCTTAGATAAGTCCAGATTCATTTAATTTAAGTCCTGAGTTGTCTTTAAGGCCCAATCTAGATATGATTTCAGGTGAGGAATATTGCTTAGAATTATAAGACTACTATGTGCATCTTCCTAATTATTTTGATCATTCTATAATTTCAAAATCTTAGGAATTTTTTGATGCGGAAATCAAGAAGATGAAGATAAAGAATTGCTACTTCCCACTATTTGTCTCACCTGGTGTTTTGGAGAAGGAAAAAGATCACATTGAAGGTTTTGCCCCTGAGGTAAGCACATATGAGCACTTTTGTTTGTTGAACTATATCTTTGAGACTATGTGAAAGGGAGAGGTTCAGATGATAAGGGAATGCTGGCTGTGTCACTAGTTTGGAAGGATGACAGATGACACTGGGAGAGCTGTTAATATAATTGCTTGGGGGGGCTTCTCTGCATGCTTCTAATAATTGAAACTTTTTATATAGGTTGCATGGGTAACAAAGTCTGGGCAATCTGACTTGGAGGTGCCTATTGCTATTCGTCCAACCAGTGAGACTGTTATGTACCCTTACTATTCAAAGTGGATCAGGGGACACCGTGACTTACCTCTAAGACTGAATCAGTGGTGTAATGTTGTCCGTTGGGAATTCAGCAATCCAACTCCTTTTATCAGGTAGTATATGGTGTACTTTTCTACATAATGCTTTGTACTCCCTCCGTTTTTTAAATACTTGCTCCACTTTCCATTTTCGGCCGTTTTTAAATACTTGCTCCATTTCCTTATTTGGAAAGCTTTTACAATATTTAATTCCTTTCTCTCAACTAGTGGACCCAACATAAATCATATTTTATTAATTTTATATTCTCTCTCTTCCAATTCTCTCAACTACTTTTACTTTTTACAATTTTTTATTCTTCCACCTACCCCACTACCTCCATATTTTATTACTTTTCTCCAATTTCTCCTAAAACTCCGCGCATGGAGAAATGGAGCAAGTATTTTAAAACGGAGGGAGTAAGTTCTTTCTACATGGTGTGTATTTTTCTTTTCTTTTCTTTCCCTTAGCATATAATGCTTGATGGCTCTATTGGATAATCCATTACTTTGTCTTGTCATTTTAATTGCGAATATAAAGACTCATATAGTGAAAGAAAGAATTGCTAACCCTGAAGGTCTGATGACTCCATATAGGGATAGAAATGAATTGCTGTCCTGAAGATCTGATAACTATGAGGGGACATAATCATTCTCTTAGTTGTTATCTGTTAGGTTTGCATTATCATTCTCTCATTTGTAATTTGTTGGGTAACGAACCTACATTGGGTTTGTATTAGTTATTGCCTTTTTTTGATTTTTCTGGATAGTATTCTACCAGGTAGTTGGAAGAAATGGTTATTTGGACATACAACTATCGTGGTACTTTATTTATGTAATTTTTTACCTGTTAAAAACAAAGGTAGGAGTACTATAGAAAGGAAGAAATATACAAATAAGTTGATTTTGTTTGTCAGGAACTAAAGTATATTTTTAAGAAATCAATCTAGTGAGAGAGGAATACAGTTCATAACAATCTTTGTTACATGCTGTTACATGCAAATAATCCTCTATATTTAAGCTAATTTAGGCTTGCTCTTGTGTTTGTAGGAGTCGTGAATTTCTCTGGCAAGAAGGCCATACAGCATTTGCTACACAGGAAGAGGCAGATGCTGAGGTATGAGTGTTTGGCAGTGTAGTTTGCTAACTATTATCTGGTTTAACTATTTACTTTATGCGACTCCTATAAGTCTATAACTACCCCTGCAACTCTGCTAGTACTGTCTCACTGGCATTGGCGGATAAAGTTAATCAAACCTAGAGATTCTGTATTGCAATTTAATGCCTTAGCTAGGCTTACTTAATATGCCTCCCTCCCCCTCTCTCAATTTAGGCTGTATGCTTCAATTCTCAATACCTTTGTGTGCCAATACATTTTAGTATGCGACTCAGCTAATCCAGATTAGCTTACTAAAGTAACTTGGGGCTTTTGCAACTTTGAGTAGAATGTTATGGTTTTATTCTCTAGTCGGCCATAAGTTTTCTTCACTTTGTCATGAGGAAAATGGATGTTGGCAAAAAATCAAGAGGAAAAATACTCTAGATCTGAAAATCATGGCATTGAATAACGGAAATATAAGTTTCGGGCTTTTGGTTGACTGAGTGACGCGATTCTATAAATATGTTTTCCGGCTTATGATGCCAGCTCAAGCATGTTGTACAGTTACAGGGAGAGGGAGGTAGAGGTGGTGAGATAGGGAGTTAGGCTAGTATGAGATTTTGGGAGGAAAAGGTAACTTTTTAAAAAGTATTATCTTATTTTCTTTTTCAGAAAAACAATTTTATTTACTTTTACGGGTTCAATTTTCACCTTCCCATACAAACACCATTCCCCATTTTCTCTCACCTTAGCCTATGCCCTATGCAGAGTACTACTTTTTGGGGTGTAATATCCCATAACGTATTATGATCTGAAATAAGTTGTTTAATAAAACAGTATTCTCCTAACTAGTGCTTTGTGGTCTTTGTACTTGAACTGCTTACCGAAGCATACTACGTGATAGGTAACTCTAGTCTCAAGTTCCATGTAAAAGATGATGGAAGCACCTGTAAATTGCCATGGTTTCTGAAACACCACCTCGACCTTTCTGGACACGAGTATAGGATTTTATTATTTTTAGATCCCATTTATGGTTCGTATTGTCCGTAGTTCATTTCAGATATTGATTCCCAGCCTTCACTCATTGCTTGATTGGTGTTTTCTCCCTGATTTTGGTTGTGGATTTTTTTCCCTAGCCATCCATATCTTAAAGAAGAAGACTTGGTTAATCTCATCTACTTTTGATAAATTTCTGGCAATCCGTCGCCCTTTTTCGTCCTCTTTGCCCTTTTTCGCCCTTTGTCACGCTTTAATTATCGATCGGATATATGTCCAATTCAATGTCATGGACCATCTTTCTTGTCTTTTTTCACGACAATAGATTTAGTCTGAAATTCAAGAAAGGATTTCCTCAATGGTTGACTTTACCAACTGGCTTTGATAAAAATTCGTTGGTTGCTGTCATGAATTGTATTACTTAGTTTCTGCTAGAGATTTATGTAGTATTTTGAAAGATTTTTCTTGCTTTTTTCTTAAGTTGCTTATGCTTTTTGAGTTTTTGTTCGATTTCCCCCTTTATTTTTACACATTTGAATTCTCTCTCTCTCTCTCTCTCTCTCTCTCTCTCTCTCTCTCTCTCTCTCTCTCTCTTTCATGTTAACTTCAAAAATAAAAGAAGTTTTTATTTGTGCAATTGTGGAGCTGTTTTGGGTTTTGTTCAATTCTGAAAAGGGAGTTTATCTTTTCCATCTTTCGTTGGTCCTTTTTCTTAGTTTCCTTGCTAATATTTCTCGGCCAAGATTTTATGTCCTTTGTCCTCTGTATCTTTTTTTGGGTAAATTTGGGGTTGATTAGTTTTAACTTCTGTTAAAATGTTGTAGAGCTAGTTTGCCATCCCATGGTTGTTGGTCTTTGGTGTCCTTTGCTCTTGAAGACATCATTGTCTACTTCAAGAACTAATAGTAATTTCTCTAATAGTGTGTTTGAATTGAAGGAAATGGAGGGAAAGGAAGGGAAGGGGAATGGAGGGAGGAAGTTTCTTTCATTTGGATAAAAAATTAGGGATGAAGGGAATGTGAGGGGAAAGAAATGGAGGGTTTAAATTCTAAAAAAATAATCCCTTCACCAATAGAGAGATTTGGAAGGAAAACTCATCCTTCTTCCTTCCCCTTCCTTTCACCTCCCTCCCTTTCTTTTCCTTCCCTTAATATTACCCAAACAAATTGTAAGGTTCTTTCTTGACGCAACTTTGAGATATTATCTGCATCTTGAGAAGCATGTTGTAATTTAAGGTTTTTTTTTTCCTTTCCTTTTTTAGTTTTCTTTTTCTATGGTATTAGCTATTGGTCTAACCCTAAGACAGGGGATCTTTATGCTTGTGTACCTTTCCCAAAAAATAAGAAAATAATTGGGAATAGATGAATGTCTAACACCCACTTGCCAGGCAGTTATTTCATGCTTGCTCACTGTTCATGCCTTTAATGAGCATCATATTGGGGAGCTGATGATGAAATATGAAAGGGACTTGCAGATCCATCCCAAGGCGCACCAAGATCATATTGAAATCTATACCTTATCTGAAACATGTTAAAGATGTTCCTCTACTGGCTTCTCTAACGTTTTGATTATGGCGTCATTTACAGTTTAAAATGGTACAGGCATTAGTTAAACCATGCTTATGTAGATGAAGTAAATAAGAATAAGAATGATTTTAGGGAAGGGTCAGCCAGTTACCCTGTCCGATCCAGAAAGACCAAGGCTAGAAGCTACTGCTCCCTTTGAACATCAGTATGAAAATTATGCAATGGATGAGTTCTTCCATAGGGTAGGATAAAGTGAAAAAGAAAGGTATTTGAACCAGGGCGGGCTGAGAAGGCCCTATGTAGTATTTCTTTTCATGGGTGGTGGGGAGGTTTAAGGGGAATATATGTTTGCATCAAGGTATATTGTTTCCAAAATGTTGATGGCTTGGGAGAGAGCCATGATTTGAACCTGGAATTTTAATGTAATAGTCAAGTGGACGACTTTTCCAAATAAAGTCTGTATCTGCTGCTCTTTGAACTACTTTTTCAAGAGTTTGTCACCCACTGTGAAAACTGATAGAATCTGGTATTTTCTCTGTATTCTAATTCTGTTGGATGTTGATTGATAATCAGTACCATTATTATATTTTGATTGCTACATTAGGTTCTTGATATATTGGAACTCTACCGGCGAATATATGAAGAGTTTTTGGCTGTTCCAGTGGTCAAGGGCAAGAAAAGTGAAATGGAGAAGTTTGCAGGTGGATATTACACAACAAGTGTTGAGGTAGCCCTTTTTTTAATAGGAGTTGAAACTGCTTTGCATATGAATTTTTCTATGTAAATCATTGGAATCTCGATAAATATTGTAATATGTATTATGAGACGCACTTTCATCTGGTTGCTTTAAATATTCTAAGTTGCATATTGTCTTCCTATTCCAGGCATTTATACCAAACACTGGACGTGGTGTTCAAGGTGCAACTTCACATTGTCTTGGTCAAAATTTTGCAAAGATGTTTGAAATTACTTATGAAAATGAGAAAGGAGAGAAGGCAATGGTCTGGCAGAACTCATGGGCATACAGTACCAGAACGGTATGCTCCTCTACCCTTCTTTTGCTATTACTGCCAGAGTTGTTTGATTGGAGCTTACTTTTGTGCAACTTGCCTGTCTGCAGTATCTTGGTTTGATCCAAGAAATTGATTAATGTTTTTGGTTGTGGTGGACATTATGAGTTGTTTGTTTGGCAATGAGTTATTGTCTGTTTGATGATATTCTTGTCACTATTTGGTTCTTAAATTAGCTCATTTCTGTAATAATATTCATTGGATTAGCTGAGGATCTTGTTATTATGCATTCTTAATGAGTAGCAATATTCATTTTATTGGTCACCCTCGAATGAGGGTTCTTAAGGGTTAAGAGAGGGTAACGTTTCAATATAGGATGGATTGATAATGCCACTTGTTTGTTGAAAATAACCCCTTGATTGACAGGAGGGTTCCTCCTGACTTTTTAAAACCTAAATTTTTATTCTGTCAATTTGCAGATAGGGGTAATGGTCATGACACATGGTGATGACAAAGGCTTAGTTTTGCCACCTAAAGTAGCAGCTGTCCAAGTCATTGTGGTACCTGTACCTTTCAAAGACGCCGATACACAAGGAATTTTCGATGCTTGTGCTTCTACTGTCAAAATTCTGAGTGAAGCAGGCATTCGGGCTGAGTGTGATCTTAGGGATAACTATTCTCCAGGCTGGAAGTATTCACACTGGGAAATGAAAGGTGTTCCTTTGAGGCTTGAGATTGGACCAAAGGATTTGGCCAATAGTCAGGTAAATCTAATGCACGTCTCGTCCAAGTTTTTTAAAATTTTATGTTTTATGTTTTTCTTATCTAAAAATTGTTATTTTGGGCTTATCTATCTGATCGATGAGTTTCGTGAAATGCTATTGCTGGGTGTCTTTTTGTTATATGTGTTTCATTACCATGCCTGCTGAGTTCCTTTTTTCCCTTTGTTGCTGGAATGGTTTGGCATGCATTCAGAAAAAGAGAATACATATATTTGTCACTGAAATACCAAAATAGCATTGTAACTGAAAAAAAAAAACTTACAATTTTCCTTGGGCTGGAATTCAATTAATAAGATTTTATATCCTAGTGACGGATTGTGATGGCTGATGCAGTAATGAAATGAATTTTGTGTGCTACTAAGCTATGTATCTTTGGGTGATTTTGAGAAACATATTGCACATTGATCTATTGCGTGAAAGTTATTTGATTTAGTGGTCATTGGTCTGATATGGTTTATGAGGCATTTAGAATAATTTGTAAATGGTCCCCATTGGACTAACTTCAGTATGGTTTATAGCAGCTGTGGCAAATAGTTTGTTTGAAGGGCAAAGAATAATCATAGATCCCTATTATTTATCTCTATCAAAATCATAGCTGAATCAAATAATCCAGAGTTCAGATGCTATTATCTTTGACCCCTGTAACTCATGTTTTGGTGGCAAAAGGAGTACCTCACTAAAATATGCCATGCATATATTTTTATTGTTCATTAACTTTATTTTTTTAATTAACATGATTTCTCAGGATGACTTTATAGTGCTGTGTAGCTTGTGGTTCCATACAGCCATTGGCCACGTCAGTTTTATTGTTAATGTCATATTTTGTTAGCCAAGTATGGTTGAGATTAACATTTTATCAACTTTTAGACTCGTGCTGTTCGACGTGACGATTCGGCCAAGAAGGATATACCAATGGCAGATTTGGTTGATCAGGTGAAAGAATTGCTGGATGCAATTCAACAAAACTTGTTTGACGTTGCAAAGGAAAAGAGAGATGCATGTGTTAAAGAAGTTAGGACATGGGATGAGTTTGTTGAAGCGTTGGCGCAGAAGAAACTGATTTTAGCTCCTTGGTGTGATGAAGAGGTATCATGGATTTTACTTATTTATTTTCGAGTTCATATTATTTTAGAAGTTCATCACTTTGTCTTGATTTTTTCTGATCTATTTTCTTAATACATATGTATCTTTCTTATGATAGGAATTAGAAACAATCATGTCGATCATGTTCTTTGCATGGACTCGATAATTTGATGTAATCTAATTGAATCTAACTCAAGTAATATCTAACATATGTTGCTTTCTTAAAGGAAAGCCATGGCTAATTGGCTGGCTATACCCACTGCCATCACATGCTTGCAACCTTAGAAATGGAGGTTTTAAAACTTAATTTTTGTATTAACTTGCTCAAGTATATTGTTTTTATGCCGACTATGGTGTTAGTATCGGTATACTGTGTGTATTGAACAATTGCCATAGTGATGCACCACTTGTAGAGGTATCTGGATGAATACTAGATTACTAGTTGATATACTGATTTGGATGTTTTCATATTGTTGCAAAGCGGTTATTGAATTGTATAATCCTATCCTCTCATTAAATCTTGAGTACATAAACATTAGGGACCAAATTATCCAAATTTTCACCAATCAGGACTTTATCTTAATTTTATAATTTTTTTGGGACCTTAGTCTAGAACAGGCCTTGTATAGGAATGGATAAAACTTGAAGAATATGCAGCCCCTCTCCCTTCCCAGGAATAAAAGCCCAGATCCACCTCATGTGCTTTTAGAAGTGATGCAACAGCAAATCTCCCTTTCCCAAGAATAAAAGCTCAAGATCCACCTCATGTGTTTTTAAAAGTGATGCAAATTTTAGCTTGTATGTGATAAAATTCTTAAGAGACGTGTATTGATTTTTCCTCCAGGAAGTTGAGAAGGATGTCAAAGCTCGAACAAAAGGAGAGATAGGAGCTGCTAAGACTTTATGCTCACCATTTGATCAGCCAGCGCTGGAAGAAGGTATAAGCTCTTAAATTTTGTATGGAATTTCTTGCAAAATTACAAGTTTCATACTGCTACCTGCTAGTTTGAAGTATTCTGTCATTGTTTATACTGAAAGTATATATGATTCTTAATCTCTAAACTCCTGCATTGTAGTGACACATGTCTGATCCCAGAATTGATTCTCATTTTTTTTTTCTAAACTGATACTCGTCATGTAGTAATGCAGTAAATTGTTGTCTAGTGCGTAATTATGTAGTGTTTTTAAGCTGTCTGGCTAAACCGGAATTTTTTTTCTATTGTTCTTTAGGCACCCTTTGCTTTGCTTCTGGAAAGCCGGCCAAGAAATGGACATATTGGGGCAGAAGCTACTAGTACTACTATCTTTGTTATTCTCCTGTTTTTTGGCACATCACTCATACTATTGTCTATTTCTCTAAATACTCTATATATTTTTGACACAGGTGTCCCATGATTTCTTAGTCTAGTTGTTCCACACTTCAACATTTCAAATCTCACAATGAAACAAATGCAATTTAAGTTTCTTTAACCAAGCATGTCAAACTCTAGGCTTAGTAGCTTAGACTAGAGTTGATCTTACTGAGAGAGAGCATGTTAATGTTTTCGGAGGAAGTAGCAAACTTACGATTGTGATTACCATGGAGGTAGCTTTTCCCTCCTTGTAATTAAGGCAATGGTAGCTTGTTTTATCATCCAAAATTCCCAACTAAAATATGTTCTTATTTAATAATCAGTTAAAGAAACAAGGGAAATAATTTTCATTATGAAAGAAAAGGTTTTATCCACTTGAAAATTTCTCTCTCAACTTATCCAGCTGATGTGATGTCTTCACCACTAAATAAGTAAATATTTCACTCATTCACTTTCTATATCTTATGTTATGTGAAGTCCTTCAATAACTACTACTCCCTCAAATTCAATTGTCCATAGTTTTGCTTGCCCACCTTTTGTTTCTCTTTTTTCTTTACACAAGCCAAAAGTAATAGTGAATGGTAAACAAAATTTAAAAACAAAAATATATGCTTGAAAAGTTTACATGTAATTACAATATCATGAATATACGAGGCAAATCTTTAAATATTCATTATAAGTTTATTATAATTATTGCAATTTATATTTTTTTAATGATCAATAGGGTATTTACAAATAGATTAATCAATAAAGAGAAAAAATTTAAAAAGTAATTGAAATTTAGGATCTACCTATCTAAATCCAAAATTAAATGTAAGGGAATAATAGTTAACTTTTCTATATGTTGAATCTACAACTTTTAATTAATTGGGACTAAAAGATTTTACAATGTCGAAGAAAACCAACTTTCAATTGATATGATGCTACAAGTAGCACTTTTAAAAAGCATATGATTATGAAGTTGACCCATATCCATCAATTTTTCTTAATTGGATCCCTACCCGTTGGTTAGAATCCCCATCATCATTATAAGCATAAGCGAATCCACCATGCCGGGTCAAATCCATACCCTCCATTTCATCATCGGGTGATATTCGTAGAAGTTTGAGCTTTTGAAGGACCAAAAATAGGGGACCCATTGTGAAGCTAACCCACCCGATTATAGACAAGATTTGAACAATATGGGCTGCCAAAAGCCTACCACCCCCACCCATAAACAAACCATATGGTCGACCGACTTTACCCGAGACCGGGTAAACCTCGTCGACATACTTCTTGCTTGCAAAAAGGGCCGTAGAAAGGACCCCCCACGCCCCACACCCGCCATGTAGTTGGGCTGCCTCCAACGGGTCATCATATTTGTATAGCTCTGCTAACTTGTTCGAGCCCATTAGTACCCCTGCCGCCACAAAACCACAAATTATTGCAGCCCATGGCTCAACCACAGCACATCCAGATGTGATTGCTGCGAACCCACCCAATAAACCATTGCAAACATCAGTAATGTTCCAATGACCCGAAAGAATTCTTTTACCAAACAATGTGGTTAGGGCGGCTGTGCAACCCGCTAATGTAGTAGTGACCGCGGTCCTTCCAATCGCGCTCCATTGACCATAGTATGCTTGTGACCCATCATAAGTTACAAGAATTTTAGTAAAGGAACCTGGGTTGAACCCATACCACCCAACCCAAAGTAGAAAAGTCCCTAAGACCACCAGTGAGGCACTATGACCCCTCAATGCAACAGATCGACCCTCGTGGTCAAATCTTCCAATCCTACAAATAAATCAAATTAAATTAACGAACAAAGAATATAACTTTTCTAATGCACAATAGAAATTAATTAAGCCACAAAAAAAACAAAAAAAAAACTAGAGGCAACAAAAATAATACTAGTAGATATTCTTATTAGATACCATTGTTGAACAAAAATTTTGAGGTGGAATTATTTGAAACACGCATTTTTGTTGAGAACAATGAAATTCAGCTCACTAAGGCTAAAATTATGGTACAAATAACTACTTTAAAGCTAAACTAAACATCATTAAACAATTTTGGCTAAAAAAAGAAACACATCATCATTTTGAACAGTCCAAAACTAGCATTATTGCTCGAGTATTACCAAAAACATTAGTTTGTTGTATTACTTTTCCAGTAACTATATTATATAACCTATGAGGCTATGACTTATTAAATTTTTTTTCAATCACAAGCTTTCAAACCTTCAATCCTTGATTTTTTTTTTTTTTTTTTTTTTGAATAACCTTAAAATAACTTCCACTTTTCAAAATTAATATACCATTCTTCAAAAAAAAAAAAAAAAAAAAAATTCCATAAGGTTTGCATCTGCTACTTTATTTTTGTAAGGCGTTTAACAAGCGCAATTCGCACAGAGTCATGTTCGAAAAGCTCTTTCAATTTGGTCATATGTCACAACTCACAAGTTTAGTTGTTGACAACATTAATATGTAAATATATATATTTTTAGGGGTATACATGTACCCACATTATTTTTAATAAATAAAAAAGGCAATTGATATTGATTAGGAAAAATAAGTAAATAAACAATTTAAAGAGTATATTTTCCAAAACACTATTTATAAGAGTTATCCTAAACTTTTTTAAAAGGTAGGGAACTAGGGACACATATATATCGTACATTATCACAAATACATTCTACTATAAGCAAAAGTAAAAAAATGATTAATAAGAATTAAGGAAATTATTGTAACTTTATTATGTAGTACTTCCTCTATCGATGAATTAAGTACCTATTTGGGTATTTTTACGGGAATTAAGAAAGTTACATATGAGCATGTAGCGTTAGAGAGAAAGATAAAGAAAAAATAAAAAGTAGTCAAGGAATGAAGACCAAAAGTGTTGTGAATTGATGTAAAAAGTCGTCAATAATATAAATAAGAAAAATAAATAGATGACAACTAATAAAAAAGAAGGAATGCTTCAAAAAAAAAAAAAAAAAAAAAAAAAAAAAAAACACTACCTTAAAATAGAAATAAGCTATTAATTTTAGTCACCTAAAAAAAATACAGCTCTTAACTAAAAGTGAGAGTATTTATTTCCTTCCAAGAATACGAGATTTTTCAACCGATATTTGAATCACAAAATTATATTTCCATATTCCAAGTTCATTCTTTAATCCCCACCGTATATCAAATTCCCTCTTTGGTACTTGGTGAAAATTTCTGACAATGCAGTACATATCTTCGAATAATTTCTCCTAGAAATGTACTCCTCATAGTACGAGTGATACGATGACAGGCTAAACTATAAAGGTCAAAATGTTCAAAGTTTAAGGACACGTGGTTAATAATAGCTAACATAAAGTACGGCACTAATAGGGTAATTAATTTTTTCTACTAAAAGTGAGGAATAATTCAATTGATTAAAGCTTTTCTTTCGAATCTGAGTAATAATGGAATTGATTCTTATTACTCGTCCTTATGGCTCTCTTAACACTTAAAAAAAATAGGTTATTTATCTGATTCACAAAAATTGTAACATTGGCCTAACTTGATACCAAATTTTAGAAAAAAATATAAGGTAGAGAGATAAAAAAAAAAAAAAACTATATAGAAAATAGCGCGTTTTTTATGTGAGTGGCCACATCAGCACATCTTGTGTCGCGTTTTCATAGTAGACAATTTTTTAACATTATATTAATCTAAAATTTTGGAATTAAAAAAAAAAATCATCCACGGTTCAAAATCCCCTTATTTTGATACTTTTTGTACTAAAGTTGTGTTTTTATATCCTTTTATCTCCTGTAAAAAAAATAAAAAAAAAAATTATTATATCCCTTTGAGCTCTAATTAAAAAATTTCTCCCCTAATCTCTATGTTCTTAATGTGAATTTTTTGAAAAAAAAAAATATGAAAAGTATAAAACAACCCCTTGTAGAAATGCACAATATGAAATATTTTCTCATTAAAGTTCCTAACAACTCTACTTTTAGAATTAACAATAAACAAGTACCGGACTTCTAATAACGATTTTACGTGCTAAATTGTTCCTCTACCATGCCAATTTAATTACTTCTTTGTTCACATATCTAATCAACACGATCAACTCGACAATTAATTCAGTTCCGACGTAAAGTTTATAAATTACCTCGGACCTTCAATGAAGGCACCCCAAAATCCAGCAATTCCGCCAACCATATGAACAACACCAGAGCCAGCAAAATCAATAACACCCGACCCAAACAGTAGATGAGTGTTACTAGCACTCGCCCACCCATCTTCTGACCAAAACCAATGAGAAACCACCGGGTAAACGAACCCTGTTAAGAACGATGAGTATATCAAATACGCCACGAACTGAGTCCTCTCGGCTATAGACCCACTAGTGATTCCAGCAGCTGCAATAGCAAACGACCATTGATAAAGAAAATAAGGGAAATCAACGTCACTGTTGGGAAAAGACTCGAGGGCGAAGAACCGGCGTCCGATGAAGGGGTTACTAGGGGAGCCGAAAGCTAAAGCGAATCCGAAGAGATAGTAGAAGAGAGCCCCAGCAGCAGCGTCAAGGACGTTGGTAAGCATGATGTTCATGGTGTTCTTAGCACGGACGGAGCCGGCGCAGAGCATGGCGAACCCAACCTGCATGGAGAAGACGAGGTAAGCAGAGAAGAGAAGGAAGGTGGAGTCCAAGGCGTAGGTTGTGGAGGCAAACTGTGTGGAGGTGGAGGTGAAGCGGGAGCAGATGTAGGCAGCTGCTGCGAAGGGGTTTGTGGTGTTGGGGCCGAAAAAGGTGGCAAGCTCAGTGGTAGAACACGGGACTATTGGTGCCGTGGAAGAAGACATGATAGGTGGTGGTTGAGGCGGCGATGGTGGTTGCAGGGAATGAGATTGGGTGGAGTGGGAGTGGGGAGTAAATGGGTGGTGGTAGATCCTATCTTATAGGAAAGGAGAGATTCACGTGATATAAAGTGGACCAATGGAAGTGGAAAATGACTATGTCTATGTGTGTTGTTGTGTTCAGTTGTGTCCCTCCCTATAACGGCACCTGAAATACTTGCGGAGCACAAGAATTAAATTAACAAAGAGGAAAAACAAATCTTTAGTTTATGAAATAGATTAATGTACAATAAGATTGTCTTTTGTTTTATATTAAAATCAACAGTTACAAGGGGTTGTTAAATATCGCCCTTGAATATCTAATTAACGCCCGCAAGTTAATATAAAATTACGTACCTATCCTTATAATAACGATTATTAAAATAATTAATTTTACCTCAATTTCACACTTTTACCGTACAAAATTTTTTTAACCTTTCTCTCCAGTGGTCAACGGCCACCAACGATCATCGGACCAACCACCGTGATTTTCAAAATCAAACAAAATTTTTAAATTTTGCAAAATCAAATTTATTGGATCTTATGGACGACGACGAAATACCGGAAACACAACCTATGCTGCTCGCCGAAGGCTCGTCGGACCGTATGAACTCGGTGTGTGCTGATAAAATATTTTTAAAATTCGAAACCCATGCAAATGCCTAGGATTTTCGAAAACCCTAGGCTGAAACGCCTGGTTTTTTCGAACATCCTAGGAAGTTTCGAAAAAACTAGGCGTTTCACCCTAGGGTTCTCGAAAATCCTAGGCGTTTGCCAAGGTTTTGATTTTTTTTTTTATTATTTTTTTTATTGTCGTGGTTGTTCATATTTTCTAAGCGTTTCATCTCAACCGCCCAGATCTTTCGTACAACCATACGGTTGTTCGAATGAACTAGCTAGACGTTTGAGCCTAGGTTGTTCAAAAAAACAGGGCGTTTGAACCCTATTTCAGAAAATAAATAAATAAATAAAAAAAAACAAACCTTGTCTCCGGCGACCGCCTTCCCCTTGTCATATTCGCGGCTGTGTAGATCGAGAAACCGGAGGTTAAAGGAGGTGGTGGTTGGTGGTTAAAAGAGGAGGTGGTGGTGGTGGTAGTAGTGGGTGGTAAAAGGAGGTGGTGGTAGTAGTGGGTGGTAAAAGGAGGTGGTGGTGGTGGTTTAGAGAGAGAAGAGGGGGTGAGGGTGGGTAAATTATGTTTGAGGGGGGTATATTTGTAAAATATATTTATTTTGCGGGCGTTAGTTAGATAATCGAGGGCGACGTTTAGCTTTCCACAACAAGAAATCTAAAAAATGTGATAAATAAAAGGGTAACTTCCACAAAGTTTCATATGAGGTTGGTCATACTGTGTGGTTGGGGTCACTTATTCAGGGGTAATCCTTGACAAATCGAAGAACCCCTGGGTGATCAATTAACCCCTGATCGACCGAGTAACCTTGACCGATCAATTAACCCCTGACTCAGTAACCCCTGACCGACTAAATAACACCTGAATAAGTAACCCTGATCACACCGTTTGGCTAGCCATACAGAAAATGCACTGAAAATGTAATACTACCTCTATTTAATATATATTATGCAACATTTACTTAAAAAGAATGCTAAATATCCTATCAAAAAAAAATGCTAAATATTATGTGAAAAAAATTATTTTATGATGAAAGTGGGCTTAGTTGAAGAATAAAAAAAAAAAAAACTGAAAAGGCAAAAGTGAGTACAAGTAGAGAGGAGAGTATATTAAAATATAATATGAGGAAATCACTAGTAGGGAGGAAAATAATAAAATAATAGGCTATTAATTTTCAATAACCTTTGTTAAACTATCAGTTTAATTAGTTTTTTATATTAAAAAAAACTAAAAATAATGTTGACAAATTTGTATTTAAGTAAAGGATCACAAAAGATATGCTAGATATAAAATGATGAAATTATGTAAAGAATGTTTTTTTTTATAGCTATATGCATGTATTAAATTTGTTATAGCTATATATAGGTTCTGGTTCCGATTCAGGGTACCCTGTCTTTTACTATATTTCGTACTTTTATACAATTTTTTTTGTAGGGTCATAAATTTACAGTTAGCAAATATAACAAACCAAAATAGTTGTTTACCAAATTTAATACATATAGCTATAACAATTATTTTTATTTATATTAAGTAAAAATTGGGCTTAAATTGATTTATGATTTGGGCTTCAGTAACACTTTTATTAGGTTACAGGGTACCTTATAGGTTCCGATTCCAAAAAATCGAGAACCTGAACCGAAACCTGTTGCAACAATCTGAACCTGCGATTTCTAACAGGTTCCGATTCCGATTCAGGGTACCCTGAATTTTTGCTCACCCCTATATATATGCATATCTTTCTCTCCCCATCAAACACTTACCAACAGATTTACAAATTCATTTATTACAAATAATACTCCCTCCGTCCCTTTATTAGAAGCCTATTTCTAATATTTATTACTCACATAATAAAGAGAAATAGGTTTCTAATTTAGGGACGGAGGAAGTATGAAATAGAGATAATATGTGAAATTAATGAGGTAACTCTTGACATGAAGAGCATACCACATAAAAGTGGGGGAAAAAAAATTAGATGAATTAAAAAAATGATTCATTTACAGCTTGTTTGAAAAGAGTACTTAGTGACTAGTGTGTACCTTCATATACCATACGTACTATAATTAAAGTTTGAAATTCAAGAAACGGTAATATATTTTTTTCCTATGATTAGCAAATAAGGTTATAGGAAGTACAAGGATAAGTCAACATCATCTTATTCCAATTCATCAGATGGTCGAGATGCCACTGAGGTGTTACTAAATGCACCCCAATCAGGTGGAAATGGTCTTCTGCAAAGCTTCAGCAAGTTCCCCTCCCGTCCTCTCAATCTTACATTAATACCTCGTGGTCATTCAAGACACAACCATTGAACTGCAGTGCCAATATCAACAGTCATGCCATATTTTTCATTTCTCTAGAAAATGTTCAAGACTTCTGATTTCTGGATCATGTGTACTGTTCTGCTGTCGCCCCTGACAATATGTTATCATACAATGAAACAACCTTGTGGCTTCAAGCCAGCTTTTTAACTCTTCCAAACGTTTTAGTGCCTTCTATCAGAGATAAGCACATAACCAATCATGCATTAGTGTTGTGAGAGTCTCAACATTTCGCTTTACTCTTAACGAATTTTGTTTCTTGAAGTCTTAGGTGTTCCCTGAGCAACAACGAAATTCATATAGTTAGTTACTTATAACATCAAGGACCTGCATAAGAAATAGAGCGACTTCTTACTTCTAAACAACAGCTAAACGTGACGTGAAGCAATACACAACATATTACTGTTCTTTGCTTAGTGCAAATGACAAATGAGTGAACAAATGAATCATCAACATTACAGAAACACACAGATGAGACATACCACTGAAAAAACTAAGCAAGTCCTGATTCATATAATTAAAGCTAAAAAAATTAGCCAGATCAATAAACACCAACCAAACAAAACAGAATGGTGCAGATAAGTCAAAGCTCGAGTAAGTTCAAACCACTTCATTCAAGCGAATGCCCTACCATGTCATCAAAATGCATATATAACTGAATAGATAGAATGCTGCGAAGTTGTATGAATATTCTCAGATGTCAGCATGATGGAAAAGGTAAAGCGAGAACTCGGCGAACATGAGTGAAGTTAAGATGTCAGTATGGCTACCTATTTAATCTTTCCTCAGAGACGGCAGCTTAATAGAAATTCTTGATGTTCATTATCCCAAGGGTTGTTCTGCCCATACTTTCAACTACACAGAATGAAAGAAATGAAATTTTTTTTTTCTTTCCTTGTTCAGGAGCAATTTCTCTGTCAAATAATTTGGTAACCGGATGAAGTGCAATGCTTATAAAACATATCCAAATCATTTATAATAGTACTAGAAGTAGCATACACTGGACTAGAATTTCAACTCCTACTGGAGAATATTCTACCATAATTGACTTGACACTACTACGAATTACTACATTCACCAGAGAGAAATTCAAGCAGTCTACAGGAAGATATAGTTGTATTAATAGATCAAAGTGATTGATTCAATACAAGATATTTCCCACTCTATGAGAAGTGAGCTCTCCCAATACTCTCTTTATATATTTTCAATGCCTTTCTCTTACTTCTCTCCCCTTTTCATTACCACTTTCTTTCCACACCTTACAAGCTTCCCCTAACAGAAAATCAGAATTTTCCACCAGGAATCTTATTTAACAGAAAAGATTACTTACTGAAATAACAACATAATACCACAACAGGACACCTGACAATATTCCTTGCAGACATGTACTCCAAAAGCAAAAAACGCTGCTATTAGATTAAAGTTCAACTTTCCAGGACAATCATGTTTGCAATATACGAAGTATATTGTTGGTCTGGAATGGCTGGCAGATCTATATATCTACTTACCAACCATCCCACCAACAAATCCATATAGTCGCCTGTTATTTCACCAACAAAATTTCCTAAAACTCCATAATGCTACATTGTGAGTTACCAAGTGCAAAACTACCTTATTACAGACGAAAAGTTTTGGTTCAGCATAACTGATCCTGTAAACCCTCATCATATTGAATTTGGATCAACACAGACTAATGTGCTGTGCAACAGAATCCTCATGAAAAATCCTATGAAATTAACAGTTAACTGGCAAACTACACCGTCTTAGTCTTATCATGAATCTATTATTAACACAACGGCAAGTACAGAGAATCAAGATTTGTAGACACCAGAAATTTGTGAATATTTAGGTGACAAATTTATCTGAGACAATATCACAAAAATTACTGATAATATCTAAAAGATCTCAGAGTATCTAAGACAATAATCTTGTTATCTAACCCAATACACTCTATATAAAGAGATCAGTTTTAAGATTTCAATAGGCTCAAATGGAATGATTGGTTCAACTGTACCACGATATACCTGATGGAAAAAGAAATGAGGGATAGCAAAACAGAATACACATGAACATTACTATATGTCCATTATTAAAACCAAAATAACTTAAATTCAAAAAATGGAATACCTCATCATTTGTTACATGCTCATCCAGAATAGCATCAAAACAAAATTCATGCTTCTCAACATATGCTGTTAAGTCCACCTTTCATATGTAAGGGCAAAAATAAAATAAGTAATAATTTCACAATTTAAAATAGAATAATTTCAAGGACAGAAATAGTAAACAATAAAACACTAAAACCCACAGTCGACTTTATCCAATAGAAAGCTAATCTCAAGTTGTCACTGCATACAGAAATATAGATACCTTCAATTTGGGTTCAAGAACAGTCAAAGCATTGTCGTTAATAGTAACTACATCATCGTCTTTTCGAATAAGCTCCTTTTTGTTCAAAGGCCTTTTGTGCACCTAATAACATAAACATAGCCTTTAGAGCTCCCACATATCCTTGCAATGGACAAAAGACGACATAACGTTTACACACAACTTATAAACAGTTACAGGCTTATAGCCATCAATTTGCGCAAATAAATTATTGTTAACAGCAAGCTTAGGGAGAGCCAAGGCATCTGCATTAGCCAGCAGCCCACAAACATGACAATAGAATTATATACTATAGTGTTAAAAACAATTTTTGTCTTTTTTATGGTGTTAAAAGTCAAAATTTCCTCCATTTAATTGTTTGGTTGGATTTTTAACTACAAAACCTCATACCAAAGGAGTTTTTACTCTACCCTATTCCTCTAGAATCCCGTATCTTTCTAATTCCCTATAATTCACAATCAATTCCATTAATGATATGTGGAAACAATTCCAACAATTAACCGAAAAATTTCAAATTAGTACGGGATTTTAAATCCACACCTCTTTACCGATCCAATCCAATTTAACAAACAAAATGAGCCCTAAGTGAACGGACAAAATTCCAAAATCCAATCAAATCCAGCCCAAATTGATCAGACCAAACTGGACATGAAAAAGTTTGGATCCGACTATCTGATTTGTACTCAAATATCTAAGTCCAGATGTTATTAGACTAGACTTGAAAATGTTTGGATTGACTTAAACTCAAATATCTGAGTCACAAAATTTTTGGATTAGATTTGAAGTTGGCAATGTCCTATCCAGTCCTCCAATTCACACCCCTAGTTGCAGCACCAGTGTAATCTCACAATTTTGTTAAGTGTAAACAATTATCATAACAAGCAAAAATCTATGACTAAGAACTGGCAGAGCAGAAAAGCAAAGTTTCCAATTTTATATTTAAAAATGAAATAAAATAATATAAAACTTCACATACCCTTCTACTCTATTAAATCCTCAAGAAAAGAATTACAACAGGCTCCAATAATCTAGATAAATTGAATCAGCTCCGTACTTACAGAGATGAACTGAAGAGGTTCAAGATCGAAAGAATAGCTGCAGTGTTTGCCACTGGCTCACCAGAGTACTCAGCACGAGCCAATTTTAATTAGACCTATTCCAAAGAATAGAAATAAGAATAGAAATGGCTTTTATGCCTTTCAAATATAATGGTAGTGCAGTTTGTGGCTACCAAAGATACCAAGTTTCTAGAGACTATATCTCTTAGAAACTTGACCAGTGTTCTTGTATGAGATCTATGAGCAAGATGCGGACAGTATAACTGTGAGGTTGTAGCAGCAGCAAAGCCGCAACCACCAGTCTCATAGAGCCCTTTCAAAGTGAAGAAAGCCCCTTATGGCACAAAAATGTAGGGATAATTATATTTACAACTACATTGTACACGAAATATGACTAATATACAATGTTTCCTTGTAATCCTCATCACCGCAAGAGCAAACACCATTCCTGAAGTGGTGAAAATGTTCGGTATCCCTAACACAAATTTCTCGCCTAACAACTTTTGAAATAAATTTTACAACATTATGACAGCTTTTACACATATAAAGATTTTTAGTAATCCAAATAGGTGTCCCTGGGGCAGAGTTGATAAGCCCAAATCCAATGGCCAGTCTTTCGCTATGACCACAGAATACCTCTGCTTTTGAAGCATTTTCAGAAAGAGTCTCAGCCTTATCAATTCCAGCTGCTTCCATTTTCTCATAAAAGGATTTCAGAACAGCATGTACTTCTTTTATCTCAGGATGGGACTCATCATCACTGAGGAATGCATGTACTTTCCCCTTCACTTCTATCCAACTACAGCCAGGGTCAACAATTAAACCTCTCTCCTTCATCGTCTTTCTTACTCTAGCAAGTTCATTCCATTTATCACAACCAGCATATAGGTTACACAAAAGAACATAATATCCAATACTATGTTCATCAACTTCAAAGATTTTATTTGCTGCAAGTTCCCCAAGCTTGGCACTCTGATGAATCCTACAGGCATTCAATAAGGCTCCCCAAATAGCTGGATCTGGCTCAAGAGGTATATTTTGAATAAATGCATAAGCATCCTCTAGATTACCAGCACGTCCTAGCAAATCAACTATGCAAGCATAATGCTTCAGATTTCGAGAAACATAATACTTAGTTTCCATGCTGTCAAAATATTCCAACCCTTCGGCCACCATGCCAGTCCTACTACAGGCACAAAGTAATGCTATAAAGGTAATTTCATCTGGGTTTACATTTGAAGCTAGCATTTTATGAAAGCACTCCACAGCAAGTACTCCCAGCTTTCGGTCTGCAAAACCAGTGAGCATAATATTCCATGCAGCAATGTCTTTACCCCATCCATTGAACTGGTTCCATGCAAGTCCCATCCTACCACACCTAACATACATATCTAGAATTGCATTTGGTACATATCCATCAAACGGCAACATGGTCCTTAAGGCATACGCATGGATCTCTTTTCCACACATTAGTGCTCCTATCCTGCCACATGCAGAAAGGGCGGAAATCAAAGTGACCGAATTAGGATTTAAAGAAAGTTTCATCTGCCGAAAGAAAAATAATGCCTCGAAGCTCCTGTTGTTTTGTCGAAGCCCAGAGATGATTGAAGTCCATGATATTATGTTCTTGTCTTTGATTTGATGGAAAACTTCTAAAGCCGTATCAATACATTTACACTTGGAGTACATATCAATTAATGTATTAGAAACAATTACATATGAAATGTATCCTGTTCTAACAGCTAGATCATGAAGTTTCATACCCATGTCTAGAAGATTTAACGAGGCACATGCTGATATGGCACTAGCAATAGTGATCTCATCTGGCACGATACCCTCATTCTCCATTAATTTAAAACTCTGTATTGCCTTTTCAGGAAAACCATTACTTTCATAACCAGAAATCATTGAGGTCCATGTCACTACATCTTTACATGGCATATTAGCAAAAATTCTTTCTGCTTCAACCCAATTTCCAGTACCTATATACATTTGAATTAATGAATTACAAACTGCAACTTCAACACTTAAACCACTGGTTATAACATACCCATGAACTTCCTTCCCTAACCTCTCATCATCCACAGCCTCACAAGCCGAAACTACACATGTCATAGTCATCAAATCCGGAATAACCCCAACTTCACGCATCATAAGAAACAATCGTAGCCCCTCATAACACTCTCCATTCTCTACACACCCCGAAATCATCGCATTCCATGAAATCCTATCTCTTTGAGGCATTCTATCAAACACCAAGCGTGCACTAACAATTTCACCACATTTCACATACATTGTAATCAAAGCATTAATCACATCAATATTAGACTCGAAACCATATCGAATTACATGAACATGAACCTCCCTACCCCTCGTTAAATCCGGCATACCGCCACAAGTCCTCAAAACACAAGGGAAAGTATACTCATCAGGCCTAACACCAGCCCATAACATCTTATGATACAGAATCAATGCCTCGTCGAAAAACCCGGCTTTCGCGTACCCACCAATTAACACATTCCATGAAAACAAATCTCTCTCCTCCATTTTCCCAAACACATACCAAGCATCATTCAATTTACCCAACCTCACAAACATACTCAACAATGCATTTCCAAGTCTAATATCAAAACTCTTAATCTTTTTCGAGTCACAAATATAGGAATATACCTGCAAACCTTGCTTAATCGCTCTCCGCCATTCGCAAAGCTTGAGCAGAGCAACAATGGCATCGTCTTCGACAAACAGGTTGAGGTCTTTAACAACAGAATTGAGAAGGTTGAGAGCTTCATCTAAGCTTCCATGGAAACAAAGCTCGGTAATCCGAGAGCTGAAGTTGGTGGTAGTGGTGGTTGTGGAGCTGGAATTGGGGTTGAGAAGGGAGAATTGAGGGAGTTTTCGAAGAGAAAGAGGGTGAGTTTTGGTGAGAGAAAGTGATTTGGGAAGATGGGTTTTAGTGTAGAGAGAGTTTAAGGAGTCTGGTGATGGAGGAATTGGAAGGGTTTTAGAGGTAACCGCCATTGTTATGGGGTTTTAGAGCATCAAGGTTTCGCTTTGGATGAGGTTGCAGTGGCAAAACTTGCCTTTCTTATTGTTTAACTATAATTAACAATACTTGGTTTACATACTTTATTAGTTTATTACCCTATTTCCTTGATTTTCCGTAAATATCTACTTCGTGTCTGAGGGAGCCCCCAATTTATCTTCTTACGGTAGCAAATGGGTCGTCGAGGTCGGGTATAGTCGGGTCAATTTCGAGTAGGGTTATTTTTAACATTTAGGTTGGGTACGGGTTGGGTTGGGTCAATTTGGATTTCGGGTATGGCTCAGGTCAAGTATCGGGTCGAGTCAATTTTGGATCGGGTATGTTCGGGTCGGGTCATTTTCGGGCTCAAGTCATATTCAGATCGGGTCAAATTCAGGTCGAGTCATGTTCGGGTTGTTCTATTCGTGGATCAAGCTCAAATCAGTAATTTTATACGAGTATTTTGTTATTGTTATACTGTAATAAGAACTATCAATTCGGTTTATGAGGTTGGCTATGGTTAAAGATGAACAACTTGAATTATTTTGGCACCAGACATTTTTAGTTCAATTATAAAGTAATTTTAGTTCGTGTCATTTCAGGTATTAGGTCTGTTCGGGTCAAACACTTCGGGTCAATTTCGGGTCAGGTCATTTCGGGTTCGGGTCAACTTTGGATCAGGTCCGTTGGGTGTCGGGTCAGGATCGGGTCTGGGTCAGGTCGGGTCAATTTCGAGTTTCGGGTCATTTTCGAGTCGATGTTTTTGGGTCGAGTTATGGGTTGGGTCATTCGGGTCGGGTCATCGAGTCTGGGTCAGAATTGTCAGGTCTATTACGGAGTAATAAGCTTACTCTGTATTTCGTTTGTTTATTAAGGGGCAAAATCGTAATATATATTGGGATAAAAATGTGTAAAACCACAATTAATAAATACTCCCTCCGGTTTTTTTTTAAGTGTCCCATATCTTTTGGCACATAATTTTAGGCAAAAGAATAAAATAATATATAAGAGGGTATGGGTACGTATGGTTAAGAATAAAAATTTTGGAAAATTAAGATAGAGATATATGAATGGGGACTTTTAAGAATAATGTGAGTAGAAAAAAATATTATAAAATGATAGTAGGATTAAAAGAAAGAGAGAGAAATAATTGTATATAATGTGGGTGGGATTTTCACTTTTGTTAATAGAGCACTTAAATAAAACGACCGTTTTTGAAAAGTAGGCACTTAAAAAAAACAGAGGGAGTAATCCGTTCATATGTTAATACTACTTGCTCCATTTTACTCTTGAGGCCGTATTTTATTATTTGTTTTATGTCTTTTTTTGGAAACTTTTAACAATATTATAATATTTTCCTACTCATTAGTGGTCTTCTCATATCATATTTTTCATATTCACTTTCTTCCCTACTTATACTCACTTTTGCTTTTTTAGATTTTTTTTATTCTTCAACAAACTCACTTCCATCCTAACATAATGGCCATATTTGGTAAATGGATTTTTGGTTAGGCTTTGGCTTTTGGTTTTTTTATGTAGTCAAACAACCAAAAAAAATGTTTGGTAATTGACTTTTCCTTAGCGAAGCCAAAGTGAAAAAGCTGCTATGAGAAGCTTGTTTTTTGTTGACTTTTGGCTTGTTGGCCTACAAATTATCTAATAAACAGCCAACAGCCACCAACTAAATTTACCAAACACTTTTATAAACAGCTAGCTTAAACAACCAATTTCAAAAGCCATAATAAACAACCAAACATTCCTGTAATACTCCGTATTTTTATGTATTTTTATAAATTATTTAATTAATTATAAAATATATTTTTAAGTGCTCAAGTATTTTAATTTAAATATTTAAAGGGCTAAAGTATTTAAATTATTGAGTTTTATAAAAGTATAATTTATTTTGAGCTAAACATTTATTAATTGTTTGGGCTCATTTAAATAATATTATGTAAACAATCCTTACATACTCTTAGTGGACCAACCCATTTCATTTAAGTAAACCCAATTCTATTATTTGAACCCTTGTGGGTCAAATATTTCATGACTAAAGGTCTAAAGTCCATTTATTTATTAAGCCCAAACAATCTCTACACTATACTCTATAAATACCTCACAAAACCCCAAATATTTTCCACACAAAGAACTTAAAAATCAGATTTTGGGGTAAGTATTATTTTCCTTCTTTTTCCTTATTTTTCTTTTCTTTTTCTTTCTTTTTCTCCTTTTTCTTATTTCTTCTTTGCTGCTTTGGTTCATGCGTGAACTCACGCATGCATGGCCTTGCTGCCCACGCCACCTCACGCCACCGCATACCCGTCGATGACCCGTTGGCCACCACCCACGGTGCTTCTGTTTCTCCCTCCTCTTGTTTTAATTATTATTCCTATAATTTATACTTTGGGTTTTTTATTTTAATTGTTAAAAATATGATTAGTATATTTTATAATTGTGTTTTAATGATTAAAGAGTATAAATTTCATATTATAAAGTATTTTAAATTTCAGATTTTATAAAGTATTAAAAGTTAGGGTTTTAAATATTAAAGTGTTGATTTTTAGGGTTCTAATGATCAATTAATTTGGGGCTTTTGTTCCTATTGAATTTCTAATGATTAATTAAGCATAAAAGCAAATTTTCAGTAACCAATTTCTGATCTCCGTTCTTAAATTTTTTTTTTTAATCACGTTTAGATTCTAACTCGTTCGACTTTTACAATAAAATAGTGTTTTTCGTGTGTAAACGACGTTTTAATCAAAGAACACCACTGTTTGGGGTAAAAATACCCTAAACACGTGGCCCAATGGCCTAGTGACACGTGGAATCCAGCCGTTGGTCAGCAGGGCTCCAATCCTCTGCTGACACGTGTCCTCTAAACCCTAAAAGGGAAACCATCCCTTCCCCACTATAAATAGTGGAAGGACCCTCATTAATGGGGGGCTGGAACATTTGTTGTTCACATTGAATACTCCTCAAAAAGAAAAACACTTACCCCGAGCAATATTAATTGCAGAATTCTCCCATTACGCGAGAAGTAACTTCCACATTACGTGCATTCTACCTCCCGTATCTTTACTAACTTGATCGTCGGAGGCAGAGCTCCTACCCCCAGGAGTCTTCGTGATTTTGCAGGCACAGGCGTCGAAGGGCATTCTTGGAATTGTAACTCTCCCGCAGGACACATCAAAAAACCCCGAAACATTTGGCGCCGTCTGTGGGGAGAGTACTTCTAAGATGACTTCTGATACTGTGTCACCGAATCAGGGAAAACGGCCTGTGGTCGAGCCTGAGGTCCAGACGGACCATGAAAGTGGCGACGAAATTGAAACATATGTGGCCCCGGATGGGTCTTTCAGAACGAAGCACCCTCGTGCTAAAGATAGAAGAGAACGGGAAATCAGCCAAGCTGCTCCCAACAACCCAGCCGGGCAACCGGCTGGAATTGCCCAAACGGTGGAGGGCTCAGCCCCCGTTACAAGAAACGAACTCATGTCTTTCATGAATAGTTTCAAGGGTGAGATCAAGAGCCTCATCCGGTCAGCTACTCCAAAGAAGGGTCAGCCGGCCAAGAAGCCTTCTGGAAAGAAGGTGGTCAAAGAACGAGTTCCTACCCCTCATCCCAAGCCAAAGGAGGGGGAGGGCTTAAGGTTTGATCCAAGCAGACTCCGTTTTCCTCAAGGGGAGCTGCGAAAGGCCATCCGGCACGTACAACCGGATGGCTCCAAGAAAACATTCTCAGACGCCCGCACATTTCTCTAAGAGAAGCGAGGTCAGGCGTCTGCGTCGGCCTCAACGTCGACCTTCCCGGACAGTTTCCATGACGTCTCACACAGGCGTACAGGAACGAACCTTAGGAGCCAGACGGGCGAAGCTTCTGCCCGATCTGGACCCAAAGTGATCCAGCCTGGCCTATTCGGCACACCGAATGGGTTGGGTGGATCCCCTTTCATGTCACCGGGTCTTTTCGGTGGGCAAGCGCAGCAGCCATTCCAACCCACGGACTGGCAGCTGCGCCTGCTAAATTTGGGGGAACAGCCAACGACGTTCTCACCAGAGATAACCCAAGCGACACAGCCGCCTAAGATCAAGAATGTTTTGGTGGGGGCCTATGATGGCACCACCAACCCAGAAGACCATCTAATGGCCTACTCTAACCTCATGTACCTCCAGGGGTTAGATGATGCCGTCTGGTGTCGATGCTTCCCGGCTACCCTCAAGGGCATAGCCCAGCGGTGGTTTGGTAACCTACCAGCCGGTTGCATCAACAGCTTTCGAACTTTGGCGTACTTGTTTACGTCAAATTTCTCAATGAATATTCCTGCCAAAAAGACTAGCCTCGACCTAGGGGCAATACAGCAGGGCGGCCGGGAGGGCCTCCGGTCGTACGTCAGACGGTTCAATCTGATGAGAATTCAGATTCCAGGACTATCAGACGAAGTGGCCTATACAGACTTCTTTCGAGGTCTGAAGGATGGGTCGACCTTTAAGTTTGACCTCGTCCGGAAGAGGGTTGCTACCCTCCAAGAGGCGTTAATTGAAGCTGAAGCCTATATACAGGCGAAGGAGCTTTGTGCTGTCAAGCAGCCGTCAGATTATAAAAAGTCTGACAAAAAAGAGAGCCGGCAACAGCATCAGCCGGCAAGAAAGGAAGAAAAGAGAAAAGGGGTCTGGGCAGCTGACCGATCAGGACAGCCGGCCCAGAAGATCAGGCGGAAGTCAGAACCATATGTCCCCAAATACGAGTTCACAAAAGATTGCTCCACCATCCTCCTGGAAATCAAAGACCGGATGTCTTTCGACAAACCGGCTGAAATGAAAAGCCCCGTGAATAAACGGGACAAGAGCAAGTATTGCCAATACCACGAGGATGTTGGCCACGACACCAATGGCTGCTATAGCCTCAGGCGGCTATTGGACCGTCTGGTAGATGAGGGGGCCCTAAAATCCTATCTACCCAAGGCTAAGGGTAATACCCAGGCCAAGAAAGGGCAGGCGGCAAAAACCGGCCCAGTAAACTCCGAGACGGATGAAGAGACCATCTTCACCATAGCAGGCGGTTTTGCCGGAGGGGGTCCCACCATCCGGGGCACCAAAGACAACATCAGGAAGCT